GGCCTGGCTGTTTTTCTCCCATCTCTTTGGGCACTGCAGCACAGAGCACAAATCAAACTTGATTTCCCCCTCCGATATGGCACAACAAATTGAAATGAGAAACCTTCTGTGCCTGGAGGAGGTGACAGCAGGCTGTCAGTCAGCTGCACAGCACTGAACTCTGGGCTGTGTTTGTTGATGTGGAAAGAAATGCAAGCCTCTGCCTGGAGCTACTTCTGGGATGATACATTCCAAATTTGTTAGCTTTTATTCAACTCCTGTAACATTTTCATTCTTATTGTTGTTACAATAGGTAGTAATTGTTTTTTATCACCATAATGTTTTCTTCCAAAGTGTTTTCAAAACACTAGAGATAATGCTTTTGTAACTTAGGGAATAAAGACAATTTCAAATTTGCTGATAGAGAGGCTGAGGTAGAAGGACCTAGGCAGGGCCCAAGTAATATGACCTGCAGGCCCTACCTCCTAGGTACTACTGCCCCATGTACTACATCATCTTTCACTTTACTCCCTGATCATGCTTGGTCTTAGCACTTAGATAGAGTTCAAGCATGGCAGATGTGCTGGATGGACTGGATGATATTATTGGTCTTTCCAATCTTCATGATGCTATGTATCTATGAAAATCCCTTTTTTTTTTTTTTAATTTTAATTTTAATTTTTATTTAGTGGAAGATTTAGATTGGATGTCAGGGGAAGTTCTTTACAGAGAGAGTGGTGAGGTGCTGGAACAGGCTGCCCAGAGAGGCTGTGGATGCCCCCTCCCCGGAGGTGTTCAAGGCCAGGTTGGATGGGGCCCTGGGCAGCCTGGTCTAGTATTAGATATGGAGGCTGGTGGCCCTGCATGTGGGGTTGGAACTTGATGATACTTGAGGTCTCTTTCATGCCAAGCCATTTTATGATTCTATGATTCAGATTTTAACCTCCCCCAGCATTTTTTAGTTACATAAGGAGTTTTGATATCCACCAGATATGCTTTCCACATGATCAGTGGTGTGAAACGCATCCCTGTATGTGTGTGGGACTGGCTGAGGGGACCCGGAAGGTGTTCCCAAGTTACAGTAAGCAAGGGGGCCTAATGTGATGCAATTTGATGTACTACTTGACATATTTTCTTACGATGGAGGTGTTTTAAGAGTGGGCATCCCTGAAGGACTTGGGAATGCTGAAGTCAAACTGGGGGCCTGCCTGATGAGCACATGCCTTCTCACTGTGTGTGAATACACAGCCATGCCAACAAACATATGCTGAGTTTGACATGCAAGTCTACACTCACCCACAGGCATGCAGATGAACATGCCTGCATACAGCTATAGCCTTTCAGCCAGAAACACCCACCCATGAGCAAATTAAACTTGCACATTAGGGCAGCCACAATGGCTAAGAAAACAAATTCAAATACTCAGTTATGTATAAACAACTCACATTTCTCCATCAGCAGTCACTCACAGCACAAATACATATTACTTTCATACACACTCTCTTTCCCACACACACGGATTCATGTCTGTGCACTCTCCTATGGATTTGTAACCCAAGTACATGTAACTGAACACATTCAGGAACATACACTACAACCAATGGAGTACACAGAGACCAACACATGCACACTCACATATATCTTAATGAAGGTTTTGGTCTGGGGAATTCCTTTTCAAGAAACAAAAATAATCGTCAAAAGGAATAAACAGAGCAAGAAGAACTGCTCAGCCTAAGCAAGCACATACCTCCACGCACACAGCGGTGCTGCTAGACAGGGCTCTCACCACAGCTACAGCTATCGCAGCTCAGCCTCTGCCAGGCATGCCTTCTCTGTCTGCAGACTTCAGGGAAACTTCTCAGAGACTGAGGCTTACACGCCTATGGCCTCATGTCAGACCAACCTGTGCCAGGTCTCTCTGCCTTCCCTGACTGATTGCAGTGAAAACTGTCCCTCAGCTCCAAGAGCAGCAACTCCAAAGATTCTACCATAGTTGTCTGTCAGCTTCTAATGCCTTGGGCAAAAACATCTTACCTGCACCTGGCCAGACTAACTTCTCCAATTAGTGGAGTTTGTTGACATTTTTTTTTTTTTTTTTTTTTTTTTCTTTTTCAGACTCCAGGTCTAGCTGGAACAAGACAAGACAGTGTACAGAAACACAAGGCAGGGTTTGCTCAAACCCACAAACAGCAAGAAAGCAACAAGCTCCAGAGGAGAAGGGGAGAAGTGTATCTGATAAACTGCCTCACTCTGCTTGGGAAGATGACAACTGTCCATCCAAGATGGGCTGCTACTTCCAAAGCCCATCTGCCACAGGTGTAACATATCAAGTGCTGCTAGCAGGAAGGGAATCTGACAGGACAAACCAACATACAATACATTCTCTTATTCAATAAGGGTTATAAGTGCAAAGGGATTTCAAAACATTTCAGAACAAACTCCATCCATAGCTGCTGCTCATTTATCAGTGCATCAAAAGATTGTGCAAGTTTTTAGTGACAAATGTCAGAAACTAGTAGCAAAGGATTTGCCTAGATAAAAAGAGAGGATTTAAACATGCCAGGTAACAAAAAGACGTGTGCAGAAATCTGTAAAAACTGTATAGAAGGAAAGGATTCTTTAGAGGAAACACAGGGACCATCATGAAATGCTGTTTGTAGCCCGTATTAAAAGCGTCAGGGCCTCTCCTGCTGCCTCCTCAACTAAGACAGGCAATGGGTGTTTGAACAAAGGCATATCCTCCTTCCTCACAGACTTCCGTAGCAAGGTATGAACTTGCATTTAGACAAGGAATGGAAGAGCAGGGAAGCCTTGTCTGTGGTAATTAAACACATCAGTATGGATAGCCCTGGAGACTGAAGATCTGGATGTAGCCCAATTAGCAGGCGGAGTGACCTTCTCAACAAGGTGTGCCGAGTGTGAATGTGATTTATCCTGCTTACCTTTGGTGTCTGAGACCTGGCTGTCTAGACAAACCTGACAAACACAGACAACTCCATCACTGGGTGGGCACCTCCACAGAGCCATTCATTTCCCCTGTCGGAAATACAGGAGGAACAGCTGGCCTGGGGAGAGGTGTTCTTCTGACCACTAACTATAGGAGGAAACCTGGGTGACTACGTCTTCCTCTCAGATCACTGAAGGATAATGGAATGTATATAGAAATGTTTTATATCATGACCTAAAAAGTTCTTTCATTTGTAGGAAATAAATGTGAATTTTGTTAAAAAGATCCATTAGATTTTCCTGCCATCACGGGGTTTGTGTGATACACCAGGATAGGCCGCCATTTACTTGGCAAAACAAAAGGATATATCGGTCTTCTACTTGGAAGGCTTTTCTACAGACTCAAATATAACAGTCAGGAAAATCTCACTGATATTTAGCAGAATAAATCTCTTCATAATTTCTGTGATTATTTCCTCACCATGTACAGTTCTGTCTCTGTGGTTGAGAACTGAGTATTTTCACAATCTGAAGTCTACTATCAGGTGCCCTGTTTAGTTTTCTTGTGACAAATGTGATGCAGAAAGACTTTCACGTCACTCTTTAAAATTATCAACTCCAACCTGCTGATCATTATCATTTCCCTCTATAAATTCAATCCAATTCTAATCTCTCTTTAGAAAAAGGGTACTCTAAATTGCTTCCAGAATTCTGGGTGAAATTAGAGTAGAAAGCAGGACATATAAAAGATGCAGGAACCAACTTCTCAAAAGACAAGGAAAATAGATTAGTGTCAAATCAAATATTTCATTCACCCAGTCTGAATCAAAGTATCAGAATTTGGATAAATTTCTTTGTTTCAGAATTAAAAAAAAAAAAAAAGAAGCAGAAATCAAAGTAGAATAAAAATATAACAACAATTTGTTTGGATTGTGATTTTTTCTCAAATTGCTGTTTACATTTTCTCCTAAAGACAACACTGAGTGAACACTGCTCTCACTTTTCTGCTTGCAATGGATTGCCTACACAGTACTTAACAATTCCAAGCTGGAATATTTATTCAACAGCCACATCACCCTGCAAATTCACAATAGGTTTGCTCTTCATTAACATCCTTGCAGCAATTTTCTTTTGTTCTTGCTACATTCCTGGCTTTGCTAAGATGGATTTTATGGTAAAATTTTAGCCTGTGGTCAGTGTTTCCTTTGTAGTCTTTATTTCAGGAATCTGTGTGCTTTCTGACTGTCCTCTGTCCATTTACTCAGTAATTCTATGTCCATCCACTTCCACAGAGAGAGAGGAAAAAGCTTGCCTGATGTGATTTATTCCCTTGAACACCAGCTGTTCATTTCAGTCTCCATGGCTTTCTCAATCCTTCACCTGTCTGCTGAGAAGGGCACTGGTGGGGCCAATCACTATCAGTTGTTCTGGTGGAGTTTGTGATACGGAGCAAACCGAACTGGGCTGAAACATGGTGCACTGTATTTCTTAGGGCTTTGTGTTCTGCTTTTAATTTATCTAGCTTTTCTTTATTTATTTTTCCTTTCAAATTACAGACTAAGTGTTAAGTGCCCGTTCCTCTAAACGGAGATGGTTTGGTCTTTATTTCCTTTGGAGGAAGCCTGGGTGAGGAGGCACCAGGAGGATTGTTGGTTTGGTTCCCGTAGTTCCACCTCGAAAGAACAGACCTTTAGATCTCTGTGGGGTGGAGGGTACCGAGCCGCCATGGGAAGGGAAGCATAACACTGAGTAGACCAAAGAGCTGGCCTGGGACTTTTCTAGCAGCTTCCCATGGCACAAATAGTTTTTCACTTACACTCCACATTTCCCGTCACTTTTCCTGCTATACAGTTTAATTCATGCCAGGCGGATTATGAAGGGAAGAAAATGATGCAACAGTCCTTTAAGTCGTTCCAGAAAACAAAACAATAAAAACAAAACAAAACGAAAAATAAAGAAAAAACTCTGAAAACAAACTCAAAAGAAAGAGAGGAGGGGGAGGAAAAATAAAGAACCCGGGAAAGACAAATGAATGTTAGAGCAGGCACGATCATGGACAGACGCCAGCTACTTACGTTCACCTCGGTGATTGCTATATCAACAATGCTACCCACAACAATCAAGGCGTCAAATGTATTCCATGCATCACAGAAATAGTGCTGCATGTGGCAGAGAAGCCAAGGAAAGAGAAAGAGAGAAAGGAAGAAAGAGTGAAAGAAAGAGAGAGGGAGAGAGAGAAAGAGAGAGAGAGGGAGAAAGAAAAAGGGAGAGGGAGAAAAGAGGGAAAAAAGGGAAAAGGTAAAATAAAAACAAAACAAAACAAAACAAAACAAAGCATGAAAGAGGGAGAGAAGAGGAAAAAAATAAGAAAAGAAAGAGGTTACGTGGGCATATTAAATAGTCTCTTACCACTCTACAGTATTGATTGCTCAAAGCTCTGTAACGTTTCACATGTTGTAGGGTATCAACAAAAGCCTGGTCAGTCAGAAACTTACACTCAAGCATGTCTACCTTTTGGAGGGAAAAAAAAGCACACACACCCCAAACTCTGTGCGCTTTCACCAGTCACAGCCTTGGGGCGAGCTATGACAAGTGAAAAAGAAGGAGGTGTTCCCCCCTCCTTTTTTTTTCCCTGGGAGAAGGAGAAGGACGACGGCAAGTTCAATAAAAGCATGACTAGAGGGAAAAGAAAATCAGAAAAAAAAAGAGAAAGAGAGAAAGAGAGAAGGAACAGCAGAGGAGGAGGAGGTGGTGGTATCCTGGGGAGGGTAGAGTAATACTCACATTAGTTTCACTGAGAATGACGTCTATAATGCTGCCAATTACGATGAGGAAGTCAAAAACATTCCAAGGATCACTAAAGTAACCCTACATAAGGAAGGGGCAGGCAGGATGGGGATTAAAAAGGAATGTTAGACAGACAAAAACAGTTCAAAATTACCATTAGAATTATTGCCCTGACACCTCAAGGGGTTTTCCTCCTAACTCTACCTGAGGCTCCTCAGGCCATAGCATACTGCTGGCATCCCTCACCTGTGTGAATGGCCCTTCTCCAGCAAACACGATGTCGGGCCAGATACCCCTCACCTATGACTGAGACGGGAGTGAAGGGGAAGGCTGCTCTTGGGAGCAAGTGCTGAGCACCAGGTCCTCCAAACATCTCCGATTCCTAGCCATATATGTCACTTCCCCATCTGGTTTAGGCTGGGAAAGAGGACAGGAATGTTGTCCTGTACTTTCAAAAAAGGCTCTCCTTCTGCCAGGGTGAATGTAGATTCACCTGTCCGTATGCCTCTGTGCTGGTGTGGAAAGCAGCAATGTGCTGTGGTATGGCAGGGCAGAGGGCCCAGTCAAGTTGGAGATGTGTTATTTAAACAGATCCTTTTCTTTATCTTTACCCAGCCACAATAAGTATTATGACACCCATTAGCCTAACACTCGCTGTTATTAGTGCTTTAGCTCCTGTCTTAAAACTACAGAGCAGGACTGTATTTATGTTACCCTGAAAGCACATCTGCCCTACAAAATGAAAGTGTGAATGCAGCCTGTGCATGCTGCTAGGAAGGGGTGAGGATGGGAGCAAAGTCATTTCTAGCATGTGCTCAGAGTCAGACCTCTTGCTCACTCATGCTGAAGATGCAGCATCACTGTGACACTGGCTATATAGGATGAGCTGTGACAGATTGGGTACCATATGCTAAGCTCATACCTTTGCTTTGCTGTGTAGGATTTCTTTGAGAGCCACCTCTGACACTGTCTTAAGCAGGGCTCAGGAGATTCTAATCATCACTGCTTGCCTTCCCCCATCCTGCATGATTTTTCATGGCCTGGGTCATAGGGATACAGGACCCTTTGGGAAAAATCCTGTTCAGCCCAGGTTCCATATGTCAATTTCCTCCCAGTTCAATGTCCTAAGCAAAAACTTCATATCTTGGTCCACTGAGCACCTAAACACCCTTGTTCTGGAGTCCTAAATGGAGGTAAGCCTCCAAAATCCTCTGTGCTCCTTTTATGCGTTTGGTTTTGTGAGCGTGGGCTGTCTGACCTCCCTGTTTCCCAGCTGCAGCATGTTTCCAGCGAGACTGAACCCAAGTTGCTCTGCCACTGCTATTCTTAGCCAGAGAGTCAGGTCATGGGTAGAGTGTCAGGCTGTGTTCCCAGGCAGTGTTGAAGAGAGCAAAAAGGAGAAAAGAAAAAAAAAATCCCAGTAGTGGCACTGCATTAGCCAGGCTTAGAAGTCTTAAATTACTGTGGATCCAACCATAGGATCAGTCATTGGCAAAAAGTGTCTTTGTAAACTCTGAAATGCTGCCTAACGGGATGCTTTGAGACTCACGGTTATAACCTGTGTTTTGTGTTGGGCTGGAATAATGGAAAAAAAAAAAACATATATATTAAAAACAGCAGAGAAGCCACTATCAACTGGTTCACACCAGTGAAGAGAGCTGATAAGAGAAGACTTTGAAATCTTCTCAGAACCAGAAAAAAACACCCTTCTTTCTGCAATCGGAAGCAGGCAACTCTCAGTGGATCTACACTGGGAGGAGTAATTGCACCATGGTTGCTCATGGCTACAAAATAAGCTACAACAGGGAAGAAGGAAACAGGAGCAAAAGCAAATTCAGAGAATATTATTATTCAGCGTCCAGCCTAGAAAATACACAACAAATATTAGAATGAATTCAGCAGTGATGTCCAGCATCGTTAGCAACCAGATGGACCTGGAATAAAACTGCAATTAGACTTCACCAAGAGAAAGGGGAGGGAGAGAACAGCAGATTAAAATGTAGAGGCAAATGCATTTTGAATAAATAAAGGACAGACACAGATCATACAGAGTTGCAGAAAGTGCCTTTGCAGCCTGATGCAACCTTGGCAGAGAAGACACTTGGAAGATCAAAGAGAATGGAGGAGAAAACAGACCCAATCCTCCTGCCCCATTTGTGTGCACGTTCCTGATGATGACAGTGGCGCTACTTATATCCAAATCAATACACTGAATGGCATGGGTACCCTTCCATTTCCTTCACAAATTGAATAGATTGGGAACTGTTACGGACTTTTGCAGGAACCCGAACAGCTCCAAAAAACAGTTTGTTTCTGGGCAGCTGCAAGGGTGAAGATCCAGAACGCATTGTTCACATCTTACCCATGGAAATGATGGCCCCCTATTTTTGAATTCGTTGTGGTTATTTTTACTATTTTTACCATAACTGCCATCATACTGTAAAGAGTATTTTGGGGGTAACCAAATCATTATTTCTTTTTACTAAGCTGGACACAAAACTTAACACAGCTGCTGTTCGAACAGCATTTGCTGATGGTTCAAAACCCAGGGGACAAGCAGCAGAGAATCCTGTCCTCAGATGACCACTGAAGCCAGTGAATTCAGCATCACTCCCAGTTGCAGGAGTGCAACTTCACTGGAATCAATGACATTGTATTGCTATCGCTGGTACATCTCAGGAGAAATTCAGGCCTGGAAAGAAAAGGTGCCTTTTTCATTGCTGTCACAAATAGCTGCTTTGGACACTTGTGTGACCACAGCGTATAACTGGAGTGACTCAGCTAATTCTGTGGAGTTGCTCCAGATTTACACTGTGAGCTCTTCCACTGGGATGATCTGCTGAGTCCCACCAGCCAGCTCCTTGCCTGAAAGCTGGGGTCACAGAACCAGCATGTCGCTGTGCAGCTGTCAGGTGGGCTCAGAGAGCATTTCTCTTCCTCTTAGTCTGTTAGAAAGAGGACCTATGGGTAGGAATGTGGTTTTACTCAACCCCACATCCAATATGCCAGAGTTAAATTAAAGAAACATGTGAACTTTGAAACCTTTTTTTCCTCCTCACCTGCTCCCTCTGTTTCAAACAGAAAGGTGAAAAAGAGAAAGATATTATTCACAGAGAGAGACCTCAAAGAAAACAGAGAACATAGGTGCTTAATTTGTGTGCAGGATAGTGGGATCCTTCCTCAGAAAGCCTTGCCTCCTTAGAGACATTCACCTATGAATGGCCATGTGGTTGCTCAGCCCTAGGTCAGACCTCCTAATCTTGTCGGAGTGCACACTGAGAGTGAATAACATCATCCCCAGGGACTTGCCTCTTGTGACCTTAAAGGACCTCTTGGAGCCACAGTCCTTGCTGGAGTGTACCAGGGTGGATAATGAAGGACAAGCTGAATGAAGGGACAACTTTCACTCTAGTAAAGAGGCTGTATTTCCAAGCTGTTTTTCCCACCAGAAAGTTCTGTATGCTTTTCCCAAGGGGGTGGAGGTCTGACTGGAAACAAATTGATGGTATTGTTTGTTTTTGCAGGACGGGAATTTAGAGTGCAATACCACATTTTACCCTTAAAGGGAGATGTTTCACCCTGATTTAGCTGTATATACATGTCATGCTATGGCAGGCCAAGGGGCACGCAGGGGAAGGGTAGTCACCCTCTCCTGTGGGAGTTCTCTGAAGATCTGTAAAGCTTTTGGGGAGAAAGGAGGACAGAAAGAGACCAGGAGGATTGGAGTGAATATTCAGGAAGCATGAAATAACCCCACCATTACAGCACATTTTTTTCCCCATTTTTTATTTCCCCCAAAATAGTGAAGAATAGTGAATCATCACATGATCATTATGTTAATGAAAGGCTGAGCATAAATATGCAGTAGCTGACTGGAATGGAATCTCATTTGTGCGAGGGGAGCAGACATTGTAGCATTTCGGAATGAATATGTCAATCATTTTTAGGTTTCCTAGTCACCAAGATTAGCTATGAACGAAGCTGGAGTTTGTTTTGGTACTAATGGAGGCACTGAAATCTCTGGAGACCATTTCTTTGACTTTTTCTGAATATGAGATCCTAAATGCAGCATTTAAGATGTCTTGCCAACAGCAGGGAACATTGCCCATTGGAGCCTTTTCTGAAGGTCTGAGCTCAGAGTCACCCATGGCCCCAGGTAAGAACATAAGGCAGGCTGGGGAGCTATACATCTGTTCTGAAACACAGAGATCCTCAGTGGAAGGGCACTGCTTGAGTTGTAGTATCAGCTGGGTTATGAGCATCTGGTCCCCACTTCTGTATTTACTGACACGTAGTTTTTTATCTATCTGCTTAGTCCCAGGTTTTCACTTCCATCTCTTATGAGGTGGTTGGCAAAATTATGAAAAAAAAG